TTTCTCAAACCGATTCTTCTACCTCAAGCAGCAAAACAATTATTTGTCAGATTATGTTTCCTGATTCACAGTTTGGAAATACTGTCACCGTAATTATGACTCAGTGATGTGATGACTGAACTCAGCTTGTGTGGGCTGCCCAGGGTGCCGAATCAATATCTATACCACACCTCACTCATTGATTCACTCAGCCAATTATTCAATCCGCTTGCCTAATAAAGATTTATTAGCAAATTAAATCTATGCCAAGCACTTTTCCAAGGACTAGAGACAGAGAAAGCAAAGAGACAACACACATCTCTGCCAATATGAATCTTAGATCTAGGGTAGAGAGAGGATATTTCAAACCCCACATATGTAATTTATAAATGAGCCACAGGAGCCTTGGATGAGTGGGGGCTCCTAGCTTGAGTTTATAATTTGCCTATAAACTCAAGCTAGGATTTACGATTTCAGAGCTGACAAACACAGGAAGTACCTAATACACCCCTTCTTGTCGAAGGGGAGGCAACAGGGCCTCCGAGAGTGACTTAGCCAAGGCCCCACAGAGTTTATGGGAAAGCTCCAGGCTTGCGAGTCTCAGGCACCGGTTCTTTTTACTTCCTAACACAGGAGTTACACGCTCCAACCTCTTCAGAAGATGTAACCCAGCAATGTGAGTCTCAGAGTCATCATCAGAGAATAGTGCGGACCAGGGCTAACAGGAGGGAGCCTGCTCAGAGTAAGTTTTTGATTCAAAATAAGCAGTAATAATCACAACCACAGCACAACCCGAGGCCAGTCTGCACATTGTGAGCTGAAGCCTGGTCCCTGCAGGCACGGGTCCGGGCTCTCCCCATTTGGTCACACCCTCGTCCATTCCTCACTATGTGTCTACCCTTATTTTGAATTTGAGAATAATTTTTTCAAGTCAACCAGTAAGAACCCTCTCCTACACTCCCATTTTCTCAGGACTGTCTTTTTCTCAAGTTGAAATATATTTTTCATGTAACCAAAGTGAGTAAAAATATGAAGGGTTCATATTCATTTTTTATTTAATCAATTATACAAAATTAATTTTCTATTTATCTAAAATTAACATCTTTAAATAGTCAAAACCTAAATAAAATAATTTTCCATGAAAATATTTTTAAAAGATATTGACTTCCTTGCTTTCTTAAGAGTATGTTGCATATAATTCAGTCTTTTCTTGACACTAATGATCAATATCTGGGTAGAAATTGATCTGTAATGCAAGAGGTGCTGTCTAGAGCTATTATGCTTTTGTAGCTTTCATTTCCTATTCTTTTAAGTGCCACCTCCCACCCAAGCTTCCACAAGTGCAGGACATGAATCTGCTGACAAGGGCAGAACCCATCCCATTGCCCCCCTCGCTTTTGTAAACCTTGGTGGATTTTTGTTGTTTTGTTTTTTCGCTTTATTTTTACCTTGATTTGTATAGTGTAGATGAGATTTTAACTTTGAATTTTTAAATCTCTTCTCTAGCCCCAAATCCAAGCCACAAAGTCCAAATTATCTCTAAACTGCTTCCACTGAGCTGGACTCGACTCATCAGGCCTCTGGTTCAGAGTCACTGGGGGTTCTTTGGTTAAAAAGTACAAATTCTGGTAGTTTCAAAATTAGACCTAAAATATGCCTTTTAAACCAATGCCCTTAGTGATTCCTGTGCATTTGAAGCTTTGAGGTCCACAGCCCTATCTTTTCCTTGAACTACCACAAATATTTCTACAAATTATCATCCTGTGGGGTGCTTAACACAAGATACAATCCCTGAGCCCACAACCAGGCTGAGAATTAGGATCTCTGAGTGGTAGGACCTGGGCATCTAGGCTTATTTTATTTATTTGTTTCTTTTTAGTATTTTTTATTTTGAGCTGGCTATGTATTTCATGCACCATTTGTAAGAAACAATACACACAGACCTCACGCACGCTGCAGCCAGCTTCCCCATGGTAACATCTGCGTGACCACAGCACAATAGCACAATCAGGAAACTGGCATGGATACAATCCAACTCAGGTTTTCTAAACTAGCTCTCCTTCTTGACTTTTCTCTACTTCTTCCTTTGCTGATGCTTAGCTCTAATGAAGCTTTAAAAAAAGTTTTTATTTTGAAAAAATTTAAAATAGACAATTGATCAGAACAGTATAATACCCAAAACCCCTTCACCTACAGTCACCAAATGTTAGCATTTGGCCCCATTTCTCCCTTTCTCCTTTCTCCCTTCCTCCTCCTCCTCAATGGAGTAACCTGTTCCTTCCTCTGGCCCACTTATGCGCTAGTGTGGACAGCATGACCGCTCACGCCTGCGCGCTCCGGCATGTGTCTCCTGAGAACAAGAGCCTTCTCTCACATAACCACAGCAGAATTACCGAATTTGGGAGACTGGCCAACACTACAATATTATTTATAACATAATGCAGTTAATTTTCAATTTCTCTGAATATCCCCAAACTGTCCTTAAATTTACAGCAATTCTCCTCCCAGGGCCTCCCATGGTGTAACTGCGACGTCTCTGTACCCGCCTTTAGTCCAGAACAGCCTTCCTGTCACTCCTGCCACCGATAGATTTGAAGACTTCAGGCCCATTTTCTGTAGATTGCCCCTCAATTTGGGCTAATCTGGTTATTTCCACATTGAATTTCACTTTTGAAAAATGTTTTTATCAACGAGGTCACAGGGGAGAGACTTGGCAGAGGAGGGGTCTTCTCAGTCATTGTTTAAAACACTTAAGCATAACTGACAGATGACCCCCTCTGAACACCTCACTCCCAGGCAGAATATCAATAATATTTACCACAGACCGTGCCCCTGTGGCGAGCTGGGCATTTTCAGAAGCAAAACCAGGTCACTGCCGTTCCCAGCTTGTTAATCCCAAAGGAATAGGAGTCCCGGGGTCTGGGCTTCCAGTCTGGGCTTCTCTGAGGCCTGGGCGAGCAACATCATTTCTCTACTCCTCAGTTCCCTCGAACTATAAAATGGAATGAAAATACCTAGGACTTAAGTCACAGGGTAACGCGGTGATGGATGTTACGTACTCAACGCAGTGCTCGGCACTTAGTAAGTGCTCATTTAATGTGAGTCTTTACTATGATTATTTCTTTATTTTGGTTAATCCTCACCTGAGGATATTTTTTTCCATTGATTTTTTTAAAGAGAGAGTGAAAGGGAGGAATGAAAATAAGGAGAGGGCAGAAACAGAGAGAGAGAGAAACATCAATATGAGAGAGACACATCAATTTGCCTCCCACACGTGCCTAAGCTGGGAGTTGGGGATTGAACCTACAACCCAGGTGTGTGTGCCCTTGACAGGGAATGGAATCCATTACCTTTTGTATCCTTAGGCCAATGCTCTAGCCACTTAGAACACTGGCCAGGTTATTATTTTTTTTTAAATAACATCATTATTTCTCTTAGGAATATTGTTTCTGATATATCTCCTCAGGCAAAGGCAACAACAAGAAAAATAAACAAATAAGGCTATAGCACTGTAGAAGGGGGGTTGAGAGCTGGATGAAGAAGTTGAAGAGATTAAGAAGTATAAATTGATAGTTACAAGAGTCACAGGGATATAGCCTACAGCAGAGGGAATACAGTCAATGAAGTTGCAATAACTACGTATGGTGCCAGGTGGGTGCTGGAAATATGAGGGGGAACACTTCGTCAAGTATATGATCGTCCAGCCACTATGCTATACACTTAAAACTAATGCAAAATAATACTGAATAGAAGCTGTAATTGGAAAAGAAAAAATTTAAAAATCTATATTTTATATGAAAAGCAAAATAAATAAATAAAAATGCCACTAAGTCTCTCGTGTATTGTCTTAAATCTTCTGGTGTATTGGCCAGAGTTTTTGTATTAAAGCCAAATCCTATTGCTATCTGTAGTTTTCCCAAGTATAAAAGACGATCTCTCTGGGGCCCATCCTCTGGCCCTTTATGGTTAGAATGCAGGAAAGCGCCTCACCATTACATCCTGGATGGTTAAGAGGATCCTTGCTTTGTCCGTACTGCTTGGAAGGTCAGAATGTCCATGAGCGTCCTGAAGGGAGCAGTTAGCATCACAGGCTGTGGTGCTGGTAGGAGGTGTGGAATCCTAGGGACAAGCAGAGAGAACAGGGTATGGTGAGAGCAACCTGTGTCCCTCAAGACCTGCAGGGCCCTCCACCTCTCTCCTCACTAAGCCGTTCTCTGCTCTTACTCCCTCAGCTCCATTCCAGGCCGCACTGTGAGCAGCGGGAGGTGGCTGAATAACTGAGCCACACGCTCTTTTTTCTTTCCCTGTCCAGATGCAGCTTTATGGCTTCTGCCTTTGCCGAAAACTGGCGCTGCCATTTTACTCTGACTTAGCAGGAGAATAACTCTGTGGGGACACTGACTGTGGAGCCTCCGGAGTGCCCCTCATGGGGGGAGGAAAGGAAAGAGAGATACAATCAAGCACTCAGAGCGGAGAAAATCCCGGGCTGGCGGAGCAGGGCACTGCCGATTCCGAGCACGCGCACACCGGAATGCTAATGGGGCTTAATCGCTTGTGAGGGACAGGCTGCCGTGTTTCAGGGAGCTTGGGAGCTTGCAAAGGAGGGAATACATGTTCTTGTAACAGGAGGTACCAAATGGTCAAAGGAGAAGAGGGAACTACCATGCCTCTTGCTTGAAGGGCATGTACGAGTTCTGTGACAGGTGCTGGGGTTGGGGCTGTAACAGACGAACTTGGCTATAAACCAGCAGGTTGATGCAAAAGCAAGTGAGTGCTTGTGGTGTGTGTGTGCGCGTATGCATGTGTGTGTGCGTGTGTGTGTGTGTGTGTGTTGTGGGAGGTAGGTGTTAAAGGCAAGAAAGTCCACAATTTTGCTTACTATAAAATTCCATTTCTATGGCTGGGGTAGAGAAACAAGGTCATTGGTCATTCGGTAGAAAAGGACTCTTTTCCAGGAAGGAAGGAATAGTAACAGAAGTGTCCCGACAGCTGCCAAAGCACTGAGCAGAGGGCACTCCTACCTGTGGGAGACCCCCGGAAGCATCCTTTGCAGTGACAGTCGTGTCCCCAGGTGGCTCAAAATCTTCAGAATAGTCCAGAGGAGGTTCGATATGGAGCCGCGAACCAGCTTCTGTTCTGATCTGCACGGATTTCTACACACAAGAATTCAGAGCATTTTGGGTGAGGCAGTTCAGACATCTGGATGCCCCTGGGGCGAGCGCTGGGGGCTGGCTGCAGGGGTGCCTGTGCTCCTGCGCTGGCCCAGCAGGTCCCCGGGCCACCAGACGGCTGCAGCCCCCTCTGCTCAAAAGTTTTTACCGGTTCCTACTGCCCAAAGTGGGTTCAGGAGACATTTTTAGTAACTTTTTAGATTGAAATAACTTATCCATAGAATTTTGGATATTAAACTTCTCAAACAGCTTTGTGATCAAATGTCTAGGAAACCTTGGGCATTTTGCAAGACTTCTCAGGGCCTTTAATGTGCCCCTCCCCCACCCGCCACACACACTTGTGGATCTCCTAAAATAAACACAGCGAGCACCGTTTCCCACACTTTCTGGGCCCTGGAAACTGTGTGGTGGGCCCCTCTTACTCCCAGCATTCCTTAGGCCACTCTCTGGGAAGAACACTCGGCGGTCTGATGTGGCAGACTGCGGCTGTCCCCCAGAGCCCGTGTCCCCTCCTCCCCTGCAGCTGGGAAGCTGTGTGAACACTTACATCCTGGCCAATGAGGGTGGGGGGGAACAGCCAGGGGGGGAGGGGAAGGGGTGTGTGCATCTTTGAATGGTGCCCCTGAAGGGAGGCGACAGGGCCCCTTGCCCAGCTGCAATGTGGAGGCGGTGGTGAGCGCCAAATACTGAAAGAGGAAGCCACATCGGGAGAAACTCATGCCTGGGTTTGTCCGTGACCTTTCGGGGCATGTGGCTGCCCCGCTGACCTGTCCTGTCAGAGAGACATCAACCCTGGGCCTCTCTGCTTTGGCAGCCAAACCTGCACCTAAGCCACGCACCTGGCAAGCGAAGCTCTCTACAGCCGCCCCAATCTGTCTTTCCTGCCCTGAGTCCTGCGCACACAGTCAGGCCCCTGACAACTGGGCCACAGGGAGCTGCTGGCTTTTCAGCCCAGCATCTCCCCGTTCTCCTTTCAGGTCCACTCCCCTCGCCCCTAGTCCACCCAAGGCCCAAGGGCAGAGATGGGACTCGAGCGTGGTTGGCAGCCCATTCTGCCCCACCACACGCCCTGGCCCCTGGTCAGGGGTGGGAATGGACCGAAGGCAGCCAACAAGCAGTGAGGAGTGCTGCTTGAGCTGCGGGAACAGGAGCCCCTTCCCTGATGCTAAGCTAAAGGGAGGCAGACAGAAGCTGCTGGGCATCCTGCTCCTAATGCAGAGACAGAGAGTGGAGAGAATGAAGCAGAGTTCTGATGGGTTTGTTCAGACCCAAGTCAAGCGAAGACACTGCTTCCACACCCCCTCCCACCTCCCCAATGCTGGCATGGAGCAGGCCGTGCGGGACTAAGTGGGCAGGCCCAGATGTAAGCGAAGCGCCCAGGGAGCAGCAGCTAAGGAGGTGCTCCCTCTCTGGTGCCCTGCATGCACACAAATCCAAGAGGGAGGGTCTCCTTAAACTTCAGCCCTGGCCTCACCCTGGTGAGGTGCTGGTGCTGAGAGAAGGGACAGGTCCGCGGAGTGGAGGGAGAGTGACTTACACCCGAGGTCAGCAAACTGAGGCTCTTTGGCCCCTTGAGTGTGGCTCTTCCACCAAATACCATGGCCTGGGTGAGTCTATTTTGAAGAATGGCGTTAGAAAAAGTTTAAGTTTAAAAAAGTTGGCTCTCAAAAGAAATGTCAATCGTTGTCCTGTTGATATTTGGCTCTGCTGACTAATGAGTTTGCCAACCCCTAGGCTAGTGCAAACCGTTGCCACTCCGAGTGCGTGGGGTGCATTTATTGGCTCCTTTAGTCCTCACGGTAACCCAAGAGGGAAACCAAGGCACGGGTCTTTAAGCCACAGCTGAGGGACCAGAGCCTAGATTTGAACCTCAGCAGTACTGTTCCATGCTGAGCAATGTCTCCTTCTAAAAGTAAATCTCTTAGGCTCTGACAGCCATATGGTCTCTGTCACAGTGTTCAACTGTCGCATTAAAGCTTGAAAGCCATCGTGGATGATGCCTAACAAATTGGCACGGCTGTATCTCAAACACACTTTATTTGCAAAAACAGGCTGCGGCCAGATTTGGTTCGAGAGCTGGTGTTTGCTGACCGACCCCAGCTCCAAAGCGCCATGCTGAACTTCCCACAGGAGGAAGCTCCAAGACCCCAGCGACGCCCGCAACGGCGGAGAGCACTGAGCATTGTGTTGGTCTGTGCAGACACGCCTAGGGTAACGTTCCATTTATTCTAAAGTAAATTAGGAACAGTGAGGGCTTAACAATAACCAGTAATAGAATAGAACAATTGTGACAATATACTGTAATAAAAGTTATGGGAATTATGACATGAAATAAGGGTCACTGGAACACAAGCACTGTGGTATCTCTGTCACTGAGGCGGCTAAGAGGCAGCCAGCCAGTCACAGCACGAGTTGCCGGACCAAAGGATGATTCACGTCCGGAGAAGATGGAGCCGGACAGCATGAGATTTCATCTTGCTCCTCAGAGCACTGCACGGTTTAAAATTAGGAATTGTCTGTTTCTAGAATCTTACATTTAATCTTTTCGGACCCCAGTTGACCACACGGGACACAGAGAATAAACATGCCCAGCCTGTGCTTTGCAGGGGCCTTTGGAGGACAGAGGGAAATTAAACAATCCCCCGAGACCAACACTCAGAAGAGGAAACAGGGACTGAGCTATGGATCGTTAAAGGAAAATATTTTAGTGAGAGTACAGGGCCTGAAAAAGGCATGCAGGTGCCACCTGCCCGAGAACAGGGAGGTGGGAGGCGTGGAGGTTGCCCCGGGACACCTCCCTCCTACAGGAGGTCCCGTCACCCGGCAATGCACCATCTGTCTCTAGAACCATGCTCTCCACTCTGCCTGCAGCCTCACCGATAGGGCTCAGGCTCCCAGTGTGGCCTCGCTGCTCCCGGGCTTTGCAAACTCACGCTCAGAGCATTTCCTAGCGTCCGCAGCGGGGCTGTGGAGGGTAAGCACTCCACGGGGTGGGTAAGCTGGGCTTTCCTGCCTAGGGCCAGGATGAAGCTGTAAAAGCCTTGAATTTCATCAGAGATGGATTTTCCATGACACCTTCAAAGACAGTGTGCTCCTCCCTCCTTCCCAGGAACCACTCAGTAAGTGTCCAAATGCGGAACCCGTGCAAGAGAGGAGGAGGAAGGGGAGGCGGGCATGCGGGAAGCCTATTGGCACGGGCCCATCCAGAGGCACAGCCAGGCCCCGCTCTGGGTCGCTGCTCCTCTCTCTACCTGGAGAGGGAGGGCTTGGACCAGGCCTTGCTACTTTGCGTGCCAGCACTGGCTTCCCCTGGGGATTTGAGAAATGTCGAATTTCAGGCCCCATCTCAGAGCTGGGAACAGAATCTCATTCTGACAAGACCCCAGGCGATTCCATGCATGCAGACGTTTAGGTGGCGGGAGGCTGAAGAGGCTTTGGGTGGCGCTGTTGTTTCCGCCTGTCCAGCATGTTCCCCAGCCTTCTGGTAAAAGCACCCTGGTTTCCTTTCGGCAAATCCTCCCCTCCCAGACCCCAATTCAAGTGTCCCCATGGAACAGCGACCAGGTCACCAGCGAGCATGTGACCCAGGCCTGGCCCAACTGAGCATTAGATCCCGTTGGCCCACAGTGGCTGGGTGATTGGGTCAGGGGAATAGCAGGGTGACAGTGTAAGCGGGAGCTGCTGGCGACCATCTTGGTGCCACACAGGGTAGCAGGGGAGCAGCAGAGTGAAAGATGGAGAAGAGACCTGCTTCACTGTCTCTGCACCTGGATCCAGCAGTGCCTGAATGGGATTCCCACTGGCGAGTAGAGAGCTGGAACTCATGCAGCTCTGCTGGTCTGACCTGGATTATAAACGTGAGAAGGACCTTCCACATTCTAGGAGAAGCGCTCCCGTGCCCTTCTCTCTTCTGAGGCTTTCTCCTTCCCCTTCCCCAGAAGCACTCCTCTCCCTTCCCAGGAGCTTAGCACAACTGCTCACCCGCCAAGATTGAGGAGAAGGGTTTGCAGGAGGCATGCACTTAACCAGCAAGTCCTACTGAGCACTGACTGCATACATGTCAAGATACAAAGAAACTCAAAACCAATGCCCTGGCCCGAGGAGTCACACAGCACATATAACAGAAGGAGGTGTTTATGAAGCAACATGTGACAAAACTAATGCTGAGTGGGTACCAGAGAGGGGAATAAATAGTCCTTCCATCTGGCTGGCGCTCCCACCTCAGCCCCAGGAGGCAACTCTGCCACCCCTGGGAGGTGGAGAGCGGCTTTCCCCATAAAGAGTACAAGGCTGGCAGGTTCCAGCCCCAGGCACGCCAGCTCCCTGCCTCCCACCTTCACGCCTCACAAGGATGATGCCTGGCTGGCTCCCTGCCTGGTACACTGCTTTACCCCCAGTGGGCGTTGCTAAGCAGCTGCTCTCTCCTGCCCACTTGCAGGGCTGGGACTTGGGTAGAGCTTTGCAATAGCAATCATAGACCAGGACAGAATTTAAAAGCCTAGCCCTAACACCCATGTTTCAGTCTACCAGCCCGAGGCCAGCGTGTCCTTCCTCAGCCACTCCTGGCCCGCCATGCTCAGAGTCACGTGAGTGTCAGCAGCATTCTAGGAGGTATGCACTGAAGCTCACTGTCAATTAGAAGAAAGATCAAGGCCGTCCTGCAGGGTGGTGCGGCTGTGCAGGATCAAATGGCGCCCTCTAGAGGCAGGAGAGCTCTGAGGACAATGGCAAAGGCAGGTTTGGTGGTGGGAGTAAATCTACCACATCTGATATGTTCTTCCTGGATTTGTCTGATCTCTTACAAATAACAGCCCTCGACACTCTGTGTCATGCAAGGCCAGTGCAAAGGCCGACGCTTTATGGGCTGTTTCATTTATTGTCCTCACTGCAGCGGTTTTCAAAACTCAGAAAGGAAAACAAAGGAAAAGGCGTCCCAGACTTCACATGCCCACTGTGAGCTTTCCTGGGGGCGCCTGAGCTGC